TGCATTTTTACAAAATCTTTTCTGAAATTTTTATCTTCTATTTATTTTCTTTAAATTTTTATTCACGTATACGAGACTATATTTATTTAAATAAATTTTTTTTTAATTTTTAACTAAAAGCGACTTAAAGAAAATTATCCACACACATGCGATCGAAATAAGATACTCAACTAATCACATATTGAAATCTTATGAAGTTTGTTTTCGAAATTTATTTAATTATTAAAATTATGTAAAATTGCAATTTGACGGTATTTACATATCATTGTTTTGACCCTCTTTACTGTTAAGATTATTAGCTTTATATCACTTCATTTTATATTTTTTATTTGAATAGTAAAAATTTTAGAGATTAAAAATCCTGAAAAACTTCAAAAAATTAACTGCTTAAATTTCTTAGATATATTTAACTGAATCACTTAAAATAAACAGATGTTTATACTATGTTAAAAGTGTATTATAAAATATCTAACTAATTTTATAGTATGGGACCTAATTCATGGTTATATCTACCCTTTACTAAATTTTTATTTCTTACGTATTTTGCAATGTTTACAATTCTACTAAAAAATAATATTTATTATTTATTTATTATATAAATAATTTATTTTTTTAATATATACATATTTTATATGTTTATTATATTATTATTATATTAATATAATAAATGTTTTATATGTTTAATATTATATTATTAATATAAACTATTTTTATATTAAATTTGATTTTAACGCCAATATGACAGGAGTGACTACTTTTATTTTATCAGAAACTTTGGTATTTAATAGAGAATAATTAAATACAAAAATTATTTCCAAGACCACTGATGATGGTCAAAAATTCATTTAATTAAAATAATATAGAAATAATTTTTGTGGTTGTAGCTCACTACTGTTCGAAACTGCTCTATAAATAATGTATTTAATATTATTATATAAATAATTTATTTATTTAATATGTAAATAATAATAATAATTTATTTATTTAATATGTAAATAATTTATTTATTTAATATACAAATTATTTATTTATTTGTTGTATAAATAATTCATTCATTTATTGTGCAAATAATTTATTTGTTAATTTACTATATAAATAATTTATTTATTTATTTACTATATAAATCATTTATTTATCTATTATATATTATATATTTTATAAATATTTTTACATCAGAATGAAATGGATGCTCCTATCTCTCTTAACTGTTATTTCTACAGAGAACCAGTAAAAATATTATAACACCATATTGAAAGGAATGGTCTATGTATATCTCTTATTATTTCTCTTAACAGAGAAATAATAAATATATTTTTATATTATATTTCAAAGGACTGTCTTGTCTCTCCTAATGGTGCCATGTTTCTAATCCCAATTTTCATTTTTCACACAAAGTATGGTCTTTTATAACAGTTGTCTAATACTTTCAGAATTACTGGTTTCATTGTTGTTCACTTAAAATAGTTTAAGATTACTTGAATCAACAAATGAAAAAATCTTACGCAAATTCTAAACAGTTGTCTATATGCACAAAAAACAGGCTTAGTTTTAAAATTGTTTATATTTCAAAACAAGACTTATATAAAGTGTTTGTTTTATATACCAAGAATTAAAGAATCATTCATCATCTAAAATCTCATTATATATATCTATAAAAGTAGAAATATTAGAAATAAAATATCTCACAAAGCTTCTGATATTAGAGAAAAATGATATAATAATGGAATAGGTATATCATTTAAAATATGATATAACCTATTGTTTGAAGAGTAGATTTTCAGTATGCTTTTATAATTTTTCTTGATTTCTTCGGACTAAGCAGTTTGAAAACGTATTGAAAGCAGGGCACAATTAAAGAATTCAGCAACAATACATTCATTTTTAGATGAAAAACTATAATACTTATTTCGGTTATTATTTACTTTTTCCATATTAATTTCTGTTTTGAAATTTTCAGAGTACTAAGCGACTTAGCCAACCTCAAATATCTTATAGAAAAAACTTTCGATTACTTGGAGAAACAAAGAAAATGACACACAGCAAAAAGACAGAAAAACTATGTAGAACCCTTAAGGTCCTGATAGAAGTACGGAACAATATGATAGCGTTTTGTTTATTTTTTTGTTGTTTTTTGATGGTCAGAAATGAAAAGTAAATGTAAATAACAAGTTTATAACCATTACAATAGTTACAAACTTGAGAAATATTTTTTCCAAATATATGTAAAGCAAAAAATGTCAATATTTTTAAAGTAATTAAGGTCAGTTATTAAGAATACCCCACTTATAAATTTAGCTCATTATTTATGGAATAATTTAATAAACCATCTACTCATCATTTGAATCAATTTCGAAACAAACCTTTTCACTACACTCAAGTATAACGTCAATGCTTAGTTTAGTTCAAATATTATACATCACCGTATATTAAAACAAAGAAGGTAATTATCCAATTAATAGCAAAAATCACGAAAAAAAACTAGTCTAAAGTAACATTTTAATTTAATTGGGTTATCAGGATGATTCTGGAGATACAATTAAACATGTTTACACTCTGTATGGGTATATTAAACTCAAAGGATTTAAAAATATGTCGTTGTTTCAATATAGCCTCATATGTTCTGCACAATAACTGGACAAAGTGAATTTAGAGAGTGGTCGTGACCTTGCAGTAAGAAAAACGCCATCTAACAGCACTAAGTAACGGCGAAAGTTAGAAAGAAGAATAAAATATAAGAAAAACTGGTGATCTAACAATACTAAGAAATCGAAAGAATAAGATAAATAAGATTTGTAAAATTTTTATAAACATTTTGATTGTTAAAAGAATAATAATTTTAACTTTTTTAGATAAAATATGGATTTCTGTTAAAAAGAACTTGATGTTTGTTATATAAAAAGCCAATAAAGAAGGTCTTTCCGTTTCTAATTAAAAACCCACTTTTGTAATATTTGCAATTCTACTTCTTTCATTTAGTGTATAAAATGGATATATTTCTTTCCGACCTTATGGGAACATTCTGTTTTTTTAGCCAACCTAGTCAAGTCACAATAGACTTTGACTATAGACTTCATTCTACTCTTTGTAAAAGTAGAATGAATATTTGCATCAATACATTACCTATAAATACCTCAAATAGATAATACTTGAGAACCTTTTCTTATTTTCAGCATGAGTGCAATCTATACTAAATATAATTTATATTTAATCTATATTAATCAATCCATTTTATATAAATACAGTGAATATTAATATTTGATGATATATCTAGATACTGTTTTAGTGTATTCGTAGAAATTCGCAAAGTTTAAGAACTGTAGTCAATTTTATAGATGTGTATCTCCAATATCAAGATAAATACATAATATAAAAAACGGATGATATATGTTTTTTTAAAAAATTCCTATATAGATCAAACTCTTTTAATGACACTAAATAATTTGGTATGATACATGGATGTTATTGATTAAATATATTCCAAGCTATTTAAATATAAATAGATATAATGTTTAAATATAAATAAATATATTATATAAATATATAATTTGTATGCAAATATATATTTAATATATATATATATGTATAAATATATAGAAATAAATTTAAATATATATTTAAATATAAATTATATATTGATATATAATATATAAAAATATATATATGGGAATAATATAGATATATATATAAGTATTTAAATATATAAATAAAACATATATATATATTTTATTTATTTATTTTATATACAAATATATATTTAAATTTATATTTAAATATAAATTATATATTTAACATATATATGAAATATATATTTTATATATATGTATTATTAGAACTGTTTTAATTTATTTATAGAAATTTGTTTATCACATTGCAGTTTTAACAACTGTAATGTGCTTTATGAATGTGGTCCATTTTAATATATATAATAAACTTTCAATTTTTAATTAAAATGTTTTTTTTCCAAAATTAACAACTACAGCATGCTATTCATAACTTTACGTGTATTATATGTAAAATAAAAACTTCAAGATGAATTTAAAATAAGCATGTATAAAAGTATTTCAAAATAAACAAGACTTTTTAAAATAGATATTTTTACGAAGACCATCATTGGTATTATCTGTCGGTAAGGTAGTTTCTTCACTGATTTCCAAATTTTATAGCAATTTGGACGAATAAAAGCGTTAGATATATCTCTATAGTTATTGTGCGTATTCGCTACAATCACCTATTTTTAAAAAGCCTTGTTTACTTTGGACTTACGTATTTCGGAACCGTGCGAGTGCATTTTAAAATATAAAAATTTCAAAATTAATTGAAAAAAATATTAAAAAAATTTTTGCAACCTCTAACAACAAAAAATACTACAAAACCTATGATGAAAAAAAATAAAATAAAAACAGAAAAAAATTTGGTTTCAAAAAATATCATCATTTTATTCTTTCTAAATTAGTTGGTTTTCTTTTTATTGTTTCTAATATAAAAACATGAAATATATAATTGCATATGTTAATATCTTTACAAATATCGCTCAAATATATTTGAAATACATTTTACAATTAAAATTATAAATTTAATATTAAATCATAAAACTAATGCAGTGTTAGAAGACGTTTTGATTGAGTATTTTTTAGGATTCATATTTTTAAATAATTAATAAAATTTTGTTTTGCTAGCAACTAAAATAAAACTAAATTAAATTAATTAAATTATATGGAATACTTGAATACTTTTCGTCAGTTTATGCATACTGTTGTTTCATGATTATTTAAAATAATACAAAATTAATAATGTTATTATGTTATAGATAGATAGGATGTCACAAGTAAACACAATTAATTAATCTCAAATGTAAACAATACAATTATAAAATTTTAGGAAAACTAAAATTAAGTACTTAACTAAATTATAATTATAATTATGCGTTTAAAATCCCTGATTTATTTTAATTTGGTATCACTATTTAGTTTTATCCTTATTTGTTTTTTTTTTTTTAAATGAAACATAATGGCATTACAAAATTTGAGATAAAATAAAATATTTTATGTATTTACAATGCAGCAAAATTAAAATAAAAGCTCAGGCATAAACAAAAATACATGCTTTAGATACATAAAATGTGCTTGTAGCGACAAAGCTTGAAACTTATTTTAAATATGGCAATTTATAATTTTGTATCATTGATTGTGGCCAAAAGGGAAGAAAGCGTTTGATTTTCAGATCGACAGAATCTACAGCAATCACCTTTCGAAGTTCCTAAAAAATCAAACGCTTTGTTGCCTTTTAAGTCAATTTATGGTGCGATCTTAGTACAAAGCAATTTCCTGGTCGTTTACGCGATACTCTTCTTTGACCATCGGCAACTCAAGCATATCATGATCATTCAATTGTTGGCGTTGTTGCTGCATAACGCGCTCGTGTTCTTCACCTGAGCTGAGACTATCATCTGTAACAAGCACGTCTGCATTATGTTGCATATACATCGAATCTGAGCTGTGCTGCTCGTCTTTGAGTGAAAGCATCACATCATTCTTAATAACCATGCTTTGTGGTAGGTGTTGCTGGCGCTGCTGTAAATGCTGATCAGTTATTACAGCAGTGGCAGTAACGATTGTTCTATTCATGTTATGGAGAGCAAACGCCAAGTTAGAATTTATGGGTGTACTTGTGATAATGTTTCTGCTTATACCAGCAATAGCATCTCTGCCTGTAGTCCCCATGACATTTCTACTTACGCTCACAATAGCTTCTTTACTTGTACTTGGTATATCATCTATGATTGCATTTACGATAGCATCTCCATTTGTACTTGGATTTACATTTGTACCTGAGATATCGTCTTCGCTTGTAATTGTGATAACGTTTCTGCTTGCATTTGTGATAGCGTCTCTGCTTGTACTTGGGATATCGTCCCTGTTTGTAAGAGTGATAATGTTTCTGATCGTATTTACGATAGCATTTCTATCCATAATGGCGGCTTTGCTGGTACTTGGAATGTCGTCTTTGCTTATACTAGCGGCAGCAGTTCTACTAGTACGTACGGAAGTGTTTTTACTTGTACCTGCAGAAGTATTTCTGCTGGTAACTGCAGAAACGTTTCTGGGCGTACTAGTAGCAGCTTGTTTGCTTGTACTTGCAGAAGGACTATTTGGACCTCTTGTTCTGCGGTTACCCGTAGTACGCACTGGCTTTTTAAGTGCTACACGCGGCCGATTGTGGGTATCGAAGTGCTTACGCAAATGGTCCTTACGACAGAAGCTTTTTTCACATATAGCGCAGGAATGCTGTTTGAGGCCAGTATGTATAGCTTCAATGTGGCGTCGCAGATCGGTTTTGTGATGAAATTGCTTTGGACAAAGATCGCATTTATGTGGCTTCTCTATTGCTTTATGTCGACCAAGATGAGTCGTGTAAATTTCTTCGGATTGAAAGCGTTTACCGCATTTTTGACAACGATATGGATACTCACCAGAATGAAAACATTTGTTGTGCTGCGTTAAGTAACAGATCTTCGTGAACTCCTTATCGCATTCAATGCATTTAATGCGGCCGGTGGGCAATGTAGTTGATGTTGATGTTGATGGCGAAATTGAACCAGCAGATGGTGTACGTTTTCGTTTTTGTGCTTTTGTAACTTTAAGAGTTTTTGTTTTCTTTGTTGTAGTTGGACTGCTGTCGCTGTCTGAGAGAATCGTTTTGAAATCGGACTTCTCCTGTTTTATCATAGGGATACCAGTATCACTATAATTATTAGCATATTCATCCAGTGATGAAGAAATTGTAGGTGAATATGGCATGGATGGTAAATCTGTTGTAGTTGTTTGCGAAGATTCTTGCGTTGGTAATGTTGTTTGCATGAATGTATATGTTGGTGGTAGATCAGCTTCTTGCGGTGAACGTTGTTCTGAAAATGATGATTGTGGACTATATGTTTCCGCAACAGAACCACGTTGTGGCAAAGTATACAAAGGTTGGCCTGTCATTTGTGTTGGTATAAATTGTAATATTTGTCCATCAGATGTGACCATTTGTTGTGATTGCATACTGCCGTAACCATCTAAAGTGGTAAATTGCAATAATTCAGATGAATTCGTACTTGCACTGCCAATGCTACTATTACCATCTTGATTACCAATAATAGTGTGATAAGTCATTGTGTGCCCCGGTTGCTCCAGCCCCGACACCTGCTGCAGCTGTTGGAAGGATGGAATGGTGTGGGTGGTGAGCTGCTGCTGCTGCAGCAGCTGCTGCGTGGTGATGGGCAGCGGCAGCGGCGTGTGCATGATGGTACTGGTGTCCAGCGGTGACTGGATGCTGGTATTGTTGAGCAGCGTATTGTGCATGTGCGGTAGCTCCTGCTGCTCCACCAGCCGTTGGTGGAGGTGGTTGTGCAGCATAGTGTGGATGCTGTCCGTATTGGTAGTAGCTGTGTTGGTGGTGATGTGCTGCGGCTGCTGCTGCAGCTGCATACTGCTGCTGTGCTGCGGCATGTTGATATCCAAAGGCATGATGTTGTATTGGTGATCCGTTATATTGTGTAGCGGCATATGGGCTTGCTGAAGCGGCTGCGGTGGGGTGATGCGTGAATAAATGTTGTCCACCATTTGTTGATGCTGCTGCTGTTGGAGTTGCTCCTGGTATTGCTGGTGGGAGATAATAAGGGGCGATTGGGCTTGCATGTTGTCCGTGCTGCTGTGAGAGCTGTTGTGATAATGACGATGTTGCTCCAGTGACTCCACCTGTTGATAATGAAGATGCTGACGATCCTCCTCCAACATTTGCTGCTCCTCCAGCTGCGATTGGTGGAGTTGAAGCTGCTCCACTGTTTCCTCGTCCAGCTGCTGCTGCTGTTGTAACATTTCCATTTCCATGCCCATTGGGGATTGTATGATTGTTTGATTGTCCTCCGTTGGTTCTATCTTTGCTATAACTGTTGTTGTTGTTGTTGTGTTCAGCAGGCCCCTCGTGTTGGAGGACGGTATTGGTGTTGTTTGGGCGGAGGGACCTGCTAGCCCGTTTGGGTGACCGTTCAAAACGGTTTGAGTGTTTGGCGATACGCCAGAAATATTGGAAGCGTGCTGAGGAGAAGCATTTGTTGTTGATTGAACTTGTTGCATGAATTGCTGCTGTTGATAACCATTCGATTGTTGACCATATGACATGCCATTTTGTTGCTGCTGATTGTGGTGGGTTGGCGATGGAGAGGCGGAATAATGCGACATTTGGCCCAATCCCGCCGCTTGAGCCACATAATCTTGCGGACTCCTAGGAGGTTCTGGAGGTTGAACTGGTGCCGGTGGTTGCTGCTGTTGCTGTGCAGCTGCAGCTGCTGCAGCCGCTGCATTAGAATTGTTGCGACGGCTAAGTTTACCACCAGGATCACGTGAAGGATGATGATGTACCGATATAGGCATTGTAGCAGGATCAGGCTGACCACTGGACTTTACAGCATTTTTATGCAGAGTTGTATTATAATGGCGTTTTAGGTGTCCAGAGCTAGTGAACCACTTATTGCATGCCGTACAATTGTATGTTTTTGGACGACGGGCCTCATTCGATTTCCAAGAAGCTGCTTTTGTAGTAACGCTATTAGCGGGTAAAGCGGAAGACGAAGTTGGGGGCTCAAAACCACGATATTGTTGCGTCTGATCTTGAGGGCCGGTTGTGGTAGACGGAAACTCAGCTGGACTAGAGGAAACAGGCATCATCTGCTGTTGATTTTGTGATTGTTGCTGTGTTGGTTGTTGGCATAATTCACCGCCACTAGTAGGGTCAAAAGATTTATCCACATAATTTTGTGAATCAGCATATTCTGATTTAATAATTGGATATTCATGTTTTATGCCAACTCCACTGCCACCTGATATATGATATGGCGACTGTTTCGGTGAATAATATGGCGATTGATTAGAGAGAGGAGTTTTCTCTTGTTGAGATTGTTGTTGCTGGTGTTGTTGTTGCATAAATGGAGATAAACCTTCCTGCAATTGAGAATGTGCTGGCTGATCCCAAGTGGGTAGTGCACGTTGTTGCATTGTATGCATAGAATGCAGAGGATCACTGACATCATGCATTTGTTGATGACCTAATGGATGGTGCATCATATGTGGCATACCACCAGGTAAAGGTGGATATACCATTTTTTGTGAATCTAAATCTAATATATCACCTGGATTACCGCCAGTTTGTTGCTGTTGCGTTGGTTGTGATGATTGTTGGTGAGGTGTGCTAGCAGTTTGCATTTCTTCTTTTATATATGGCGAACTCGAGTAACCACTACTACCGTATGGTGAAGCACCATGCACATTTGTAATGTGCTCTTGTAATTCCGATTCATTGGTGGACATAATGCCACACTTTTTACACTGTAACTTGCCACTGGGAGAACTTGAGTTACCAAGTTGCAAATGATTAGATGATGTTGAAGTAGGACTAGTAGAACTCACAACCCGCGGACTCATTGAGGTGGTAGTTGATACAGCACCGCTGGAAGCTAAAGTTCCACCTGATGTAGCTTGTGCAGTGTCGTGTGCGCCTTCATTATTGCTAACAGTATTTGCATTATTAGCTGCTGATGATGTCAAACCTGAAGTCGGTGTTTGCAAATATGGATGATAACGTACACCCGATGGTTTACTACTGTACTCAGTATTAGTTGATAAATTTCCAACGGCAGTGCCACCAGCACCGCCATACATAATTCCTGTATTACCATAATCCAAATTACTATTGCCGTTGGCAGTATGCATACCAGATGATTGTGTTTGTTGTGCTTGTTGTTGATAAAATTGTTCATAGCTATTCAAATAACTGGAATAACCAGCATGTTGTTGTTGCTGCTGCTGGAGCTGTTGTTGTTGCTGTTGCATATCCTGCCCAGCTGTTGCATATATTGTATTGCTATTAGCACCAACTCCGTACATATGTGGCATTGTTACACCAACAGCTGTTGTTGTGATGGCTGCGTTTGCTGCTGCTGCAGCTGCCGCTGCTGCTGCTGTTGATGAGTACATATGATGCGTGGCATATGGATGGTGTGAGGAGTTTTGTTGCTGCTCGTTATTGCCACCAATGATTTGTGGTTGCGGTGTCGATGGTTGATTATCACTGGAATCTGCGGCCGCGCTAATCGTATTATTCGCTGCTGTTGTCGTTGATGTATTATTTGTGGTGGCTGCTGATGTTCCTGTTGGGTTTCCACTATTGTTGTTATTGTTGCCACCGCCGCCGCCTCCACTACTGCTACCGCCTCCTGTGCCGACACTACCAACTAGCGTCTCGGCCGCATGCAAAGGCGGCATTTCGCTTTTTATTGTTGCCATAAGCTACATAAGTACGATTATTATTTTATTTTTTCAACACAATTTTCAATTCATATGTAAATATGTAAATTTCTAGACAAATTTTTTTGAAAAATTTATTTAAATGCTGTTGTATATAGGAGTATAAGTTTTTATTGTTTTTTTCTTGTTTTGGAAATGCTTACGTTTAGAGTTTTTTAGTGTCTTTCTTATTCTTTCCCGAACTTTACGTTTTTGGTCTTTGGTTTTTATGCTTCCACTTTTTTACTGCGCCGCTTCGGTGAAGTTTTGCAAAGACTGCACTTTTTGGAGTCGAAGTTGCAGAATTTAAAATTTGAATGACTAAATCGTTTTAACGCACATACAAACACGTACATAAACACGTTTTAAAACACAGATACGAAATACTTTAGGTTACTAGAGGTTCAAAATTTTTAATTTCATTTAATTTCTTTCAGTTTTCTTAATCCTGATTTAATGTTAGCTGAGCCTTTGCTTCGGTTCGATTGCACTTTCTTTGAAAAAATGTACGAATTTTCTTTGATAAAAGTTTCTTTTATAATTTTTTGTAAGCAATTCCTTTTAATTAATTTTAATTTAATTTAATTATTTTTAAAATTTTCTTTTTGACTTTATATTGCAGTTAAACAGAATTTTTGGTTTAGTAAATGTATAGTTATTGTTGTTGCTGATGTTGATGTTTTTTTTTTCTTAACAATTTATGATTATGCAGTATAATTTCTCTAAATTATTTTTGGAATGATATGAGGTAATTTTGCTGCTTTTGCTTTAATATCACAAATGAATTTAAAATTGTCAATTAGTAGTAGCTGTTGTTTCTTAAAGCTTCTCGTAATTATATTTATTAATTTAATTATTTATTTTCTTTTATTTATAATAATTAAAAATATACTTTCTAATTTATTTTCCTTGCTTGCAATTATTTATTTTTATTGAAGCCGCAACACTCTACGTGCTTTCTTATTGTTGTTGTTGCTGCTGCTCTTTTATAAGCTTTTTTGCCTTAAACTTATTTAATTTTATTTTTCAGTTTTTATTTACTTTGTTTTTTCACTTATTTTTGCCGTTTGCTGCGGTTGTTGTTGTTGTTTATTTGTGTTGTGTTAGCAATTAAACAATTTACAAATACAATTTTTCTTGTTTATTTTCTTAACAATTTTCGCTGTCTTTTAATTTTGTATTTTACTTCAATATTCTTTTTTTTTAACTTCAAACTTCACTTTTTTGTTTATTCTCTTACGTTTTAAATCAAAAATTATAAAATAAAACAATATTTAAACGAACTGAAATATAACGAATTTTGTTTTTAAATTTTGAATTTTTCACGCGTTTTTTTTTTAATCAACGACGTCGTCTCGGTTTGAACTTACAAATAAAAATAAACACAAAATTTATTGAATCACGTTTATATTCTTTTTTTGCAAATTTAAAAATTTTTTAACTTTGCCAATTTAATTTAATTTTTTGTTTAATGTCCGAAATTTAATTATGCAGTGTTTTCGTTAATTTTTATGCCAAATTAATTAAGCCAACGTTATGCCGAAATGTTTAAAAATTTTCATAATTAAAAAAACTAAAACAAAAAAGGCGCTAAAAGCTAAATGTCGTCTCGATATTCGCTACGCCGCTTTTCTTCGTGTCCTTTCTTGTCCGGCGGTCCAAATATAAATGAAGTATTTATCGTTTGTTGCGTGCCGCATTTGTACCAGCAGCAGCATACGTCGTTGTATATAAGCAATTCGTTATTGTTGTTGCTGTTGCTGTTGTTATATTGCTGCAGCTACTACTGCTGCTTCTGCTACTGCTGTGTGTTTCTCCTTTTTACACATATGCGCTCGGGCACAGTGTGTGTAGGTATGTACTGCTTGTGTACAAATCGTTCTCGCTCTCATTTTATTAACGTATATGTATGGCTATGTATATTATTGTTTGCTCTCTCTTTAGTTGTTAGTAAATAAACAGATAAACAGCAGCCCGAAGGAATGATGTTAGTAACAGTGGCTTTCTTAACAGCATGTCTAAGCTATTGTTTTTTTTCCTGCTTCACACTGTTAACGTTTGTTTACAATTTTAATGCGGTACAAAAATGTGAGCATCATATGTTAGCCATTGGGAAGAATTTACTTACTACTGCTAAAATATATGATAATAGAGTAAAATACTTTAAATAATTTGAATAATACTTTTATGATTGAATTTTTTTTATTATAACTATATAATATAATAATAATAATAATAATATAATAAAAATATTATAATAATAATAATATTATAATATATATAATAATATAATAAAATACTAAGTTTTTTGATTATTGCAGGGCATAGGTCGTTTATTTAACATACAAAATTATAAAAAATTATACTTATTATACTTATTAAAATTATACTTATAATATTAAATATTTTAATTTTGTAATTCTTTATAAAATTTTTATAATTTTGTGTTAAATAAACGACCTAAACTCGGTAATAATCAAAAAACTTATTGTACATTAGTAATAATAACAATTAATTAATAATAAAATACTTCAAATAAATCAAATATTATTATTATAACTAATAATATATAACAATTTTATAATTGAAATTTTTTTATTATAACTAATAATAATATTCAAATGTTTTTTTGCTAGACTTTAGAACATTCTTTCTAAATAATATTAAAATTAAAATTAAAGTGGTTATTTTTATTATCTTATAATAATATTAAAATTAGAAACTTAGTCTAATTTTAAATATTATATAACAAATAGAAGCAATATTAAATAGAAGCATATTACATTTTTTAATTTATTTTTTTGTTATGAGGCATTAAGACAAAGTCTAATTTTCAAAGAAGAAATTAAATTAAATTTTAAACAATTTATTATAAATAATTACTGTTAGTTACAGTAATATTATAGTATGTTTATAACATCTATTATTATTTTTTTGTTAAGCATTGAATCGTTTTCTTTAATATTTAAAATATATAAAATGAAAACATTTGTTTCAAAATCTAAATAGTATAAAAACCAAACAAATTTTTTTAATATACCTTTTGTTGACTGAACACATTATTAGGGAACAAAAAATATGCTTGCTTGAATTGTAAAAAAAAATAATTTCATAGTAAATATATCACAAACAGTAACTTTAATTTAGATTTAAATTATATTCTTGTAAAAATTAAAAAAATTAAAAATTAAAAAATTAATTGAAATTAAATAAAAAATTAATTTTTGAAATTAAGATTGAACTATATGTTATTTATATCAAGTATATAAATAAAATACTTATTTAAATTTTAATTTTAAACTATGTTAATAGTACTGTAGATAGTCAGTCCTCAATATTTATATAAATAAATTTTTATTTGTTTTATTTGTTGATTTTTATGTGTTATTTATAATTATTATTTAATGATTACTATTCATAAAAAATAAATTTTTAAATATTTTCAATATAATAAAATTTAGTATAATAATATAATAAATAGCTAATAATTCAAGATACAGCTTAACAAACATATTTTAAATTTCATATTTCATTATTAATTTTATTTATAACAAATCTAAATTTTTGGAATTAATATTTAATATTTTATTTTAACATAAAGTTTAATACATATGTTTTTAATATATTCTATAACGAATAACATAGATTAGTTTACCATTCATGTTAACATCGATTATGTAGCATAATTGAAGGTCATCACTACCGAATAAATAATTTTACATTAGGCTTCTAATTTTCTTAAGATGCGCTGTTAATATTACGCATACAACCATAAAACAGCAAATTAAAATTTCTCCTACATATCATTTAAAATATATAAGCAAAAAGCAATGCTTACTCTCAAAACTTCTGAGCTACTTTGCACTCTCTTTCGATCTTCTAAGAAGACGCTATACAGGGGCATTCAAGTAACTTGCAGCATACCTGCTCGTTAAATTTTTAAATTTTTTTTTCAGTTATAGTTAAATATATGTATAATACCTATATAAAATATATTTATATGTTTAAATTTACATATAATATAGATAATTCAAACCATTTTACAGTAAATGTAAAGTTTTTAAATTAATTATTTTAACATTAATTTTAAATTGATTAAAAAAAACAACTTAAATAATTCTTAAATGATTCTATATAAACATTACTTAAAGTCTAAAAATACCATACATGAACTCTACCCTTTTTTAAAAAAAATCTACTTCTAATATTAATATTAAAACGGTTTTATATTTATGATATTATGTCCTAGTTCAATAAATTAATATCGCTTTATTTGATATATATGTGTATCTAATTAAAAAAATTGATTACTATTAAATGAGTTTGCAATATTACTAATCTTAATTACAACTATTTAAGCTAGACACAGTTATAAGCCTCTGATATGTAATGACTTAGAAACAATATATCAAAAGTGTGTCCTAAAAGTCAAAAAATTGCGATCAAATTCAATATTAGTAAGTGGATATGTATGAATGTAGATATATAATTATTTATATATATGTTTCATGAATGCTTTCACTCGGTCAAATAAATTCAGCTTCATAATAAATATATCAACAATAAGTGTTTTATTGTAAATTATTTTTTTTTTAAAATTCAACATTTTTTTTAATAATATAAATATAGGAAAATAGGTATAAATCTAATAAATGTACAAGAAATTTTTAATCACTAAAAAACTATATATTAAAATGCAATACAAATCTAAACATTTACGTAAAGTTTTGATAAATAAAATATAAATTTAAACTTTGTTGAAAACTCAATGGTTATCAAATAAATCGTTTTTCACATAATTATTAATATCTAACTTCCATTTTTAATGTAGATGAAAAAAATAGAATATATATCTATCTATCTGTTCCATCTATCTGTAGATGAAAATACAATAATTTTATTATAGTTGATCTATTTAATCAATAACATATAATTAATCAATTATTACAATTTAAAATTAGAAAAGTACTATTAATCAAACGATATAAAATATTTAAATGAAAGTTCCTACTTATCCAGGAGTTAAATTTAACTCCAATCAACCAATATAAATAATGTCATACATTAATCTAAATA